AGATTTTGTTTCTTTCTTGAAATCATGAAATAATTTGATGAGCCGTTTTTTTTGCTAGTATTTTATGTAATTTATGACTTGCCCAAATGTCTTTGGTGTAAGTTGCCAAGGGTGATTTACAAGCACCTAATCAGTTAAAGAAACACTGACCTGCCAACAACAACTTGAAGCTGGTAAGATTTAGATTCTACCTTGGCATTGTCATATAATACTAAAACATAAGAATCAAGATTTAAGTGTTAAAGGAAGACTTCATAGTTCTCCTAACTAGCAAGGAATGTAAAAATACCTTTCCTTGTGAATAATGCAAATCTTTAAGTGGTTTGCCTCCAGCTAGTAAATTATTTAAAAAAGAAAGAAAAAACACTTCAAAAACATAATCATCTTAAGAACTGAATGAGTTTTCAAAGTAAAGTTTAAACATTGGACCATGTTAGAATGTATTACTTGAGTTGATTAAGAGATATCACAAGTTATAGGTATTTATCTGTGTACGTTTTAAAAGATATTCCAGGTAGTATGTACTGTTGTAGAATTTCGTATTTATAAGTGGATTGAAATATACAAATTCTTATATCTAAAACCTGTTGTTTTTTTTAAATAAAACATGTGAAATCGTGTAGTTATTGATTAATTATACAGCCCTGCATGAAAAGTCTGAAATATATTATCTTCTTCGTACTAACATTCAACATATGATAATATTAGTTTTGAAATAAATTTCAAAACGTGAAATTTACTTGTTTTTATCATTTCAATAAAACTGTTTCCCTCTTGTACAAAATTACGGAAACGTATAGCGACCACCCCTACATGTTATTTAAAACAGGATTTTTGACAATTTATTTAATACATATAATATACCTAACCAACTTTTACAAACTTACTTGATTTGAAATATTTATCTAGTTATATCTACCGCCCCTGCATTTTGGTAAAAACAGAATTTAAGACAATTTTTATTGAACACACGATATATATCTGACCAATATTTACATTGTTATTTGATCTTGAATATATATCATTTACTCAATCTGCTGTTTATATTGCTGAATTAAAATCTATGTGAAATTTTTCAGTTCATTTATATGTATTAGTTATATATACTTGAGGTTTTTTATTCGCATACCTCTATCTATGAAATATAATATAACATATTGTACAATTTATATTTGATAATGAGGACAGAAAAATCATGCACAATACAAAGCTTTTTTAAAGATTATATATGAACCATTTGAATCAGGCTTTCTGTATTTCAAAGATTAAGGAATGTGACTCCTCCATTACGCGCGCAAATATGGCAGATTGGTTGTCTTCTTTATCCTAATTAAGTATCAGAAATCGAACCGAAAGATTTCTCTCCATCACCAGCATATATTATCTTTATTAGCAACTGGTTGATTAAGCCTTTTTTTTTATATAATCTTAATCTTAATCAAGGTCGTATATCATTCATTTTTATCATTATCAATATTTTCTGAAAAATCTTTACAATTTTTCCAGTCATATCTCTCTAACAGAGAGCAAAATTGCAAGAAAAAGTAAACATTAATAAATCTGAAAGCTTGTCGGTTGTATAATGTGAACCACAGGGATCATTATTAGGTCCTGTATTGTTTCTTTATATAAATATGGAAAGTTCTACGAATTCAGAAATTGATGTGTATTTAGATGAAAGTTAACCAGTTTGAGTAACATGCAGCCTGAGTTGCAGCTGGGCTTATTAAAATTACAGAAATGGTGCACTCTCAATAGCATGGCCATTAATCCAGAAAAGACAACATCATGACCATTGGATCAAAATGTAAAACAAATAACAAAGGTAATCATTCTCTGCATATTGAAAATACGAGTAAACAAATGTATAAATAATGTTCATAATGCCAAAAGCTGCTAAATTGCAGTTGGATTGCATATTGATAACTGATTGTATTGGTTAACACATAATTGCCAAACTTGTTCTAAGCTTGCTTCTTAAATATCCCCTTTAAACAGAATTCAAATATTTCTGCGTCCTGTGAACGTTGCCTTTGCCTTATTGATCTTTATTCTTGTTTTTTTTACACCTGAAATGAAACAATTATTTTATAACGCTTAGAACTATAGCCCCTACTTTTGATTATGGATGTATATTATGGTCCCAAAGTAACAAATCAGACATATATAACATAACGAAATTACATAAAAGTACCACCAGAATTATTTCAAGGAAACCCATAAAAACCAAATCTCCCGAAATGTTTTAAAATCGAAAATGGTAGGTGTAATAACTTTTCTTTACTTATGGTATATAAGTACGTGATGACTAAATTAACACCAGCATATATTTCTGATCTAATTCTGTTATCTCAGTGCCCTGTCCTGATTTGGTTTAGGTCTCCTGCTGGGCTCCTTGCCGGTGGTCCTTGCAGTTTATGGAACACTTTTCCTTTAGAAATAAGAAATTCTACAAGTCTTAAATTGCTAAAATCACAGCTAGTTCAATATACAAACATAATAATATTTCTGTTTTCAGTCTTTGTTGGATAAGATCTGGGACGGAAGATAAGATGTACTGAATCTACATCTACATTATACTGCTTAACAATCAATTCTGATTATGACTAGTAGGCGCGTTGTCAGGGAACTGTTAATAAAAGAAATTATTTATATGCAAATTAAATAGTTAATAGAATAAAAGTTCTGCAAGACTATTAATTTAAAAGACATAGAGTGCAGTTTAGAATTTATAGAATGGGTCAAGCCTCTCAGTAAAGATGTATAAACTGGGGCTAGACTGAACAGTTAGGGGAAGGCTATTCCAAAGACGTATGCTCCTAGGAAAGAAAGAATTTTGATGGTATTGTGTCCTCGAGTAAGGTATCAGGTAGTTCATATTTCTTGTTTGAGTAGGGTGTTGGTGGTCAACAAAGACAGTGTTGTTTTGGATTTTATCCCACAAGTAGTGTACAGCACTGATGTTTCGACGCTGATCAAGGGTTTGCCAATTAGGTTCATTTATCATTTTTGAAACACTACTTGTATAGTCTTAATCATTAAAAAATATATATCTAGCAGCTGATCTTTGTACTTGCTCTATCATATAAATTAAGTATTTCTGCCAAGGATGCCAAACTATGGAGCAATATTCAACCTGAGGTCTAACATAGGTCTTATATATGCAGTTTCTTTTATCTTTTTATTTGGGGTTTTAACATTTCTTCTAATGAATCTGAGGGAGTTATTTGCTTTAGATGTGATGTTGTTTATATGTTTGGTCCATGAAAGGTCTTGACTAATAGTGACTCCTAAGTATTTCGCTTCTTGGGTTGAGTTTAGTTGGATGTTATGGAGGGTATAAGAAATATTACAGGGTTTCTTTTTCTTGTTATCCTGAGAACTTCACATTTGTCAGGGTTGAACTCCATGGACTAGTCTTTTTCCCATTTTTCTAAAGCATGGAGGTCATCTTGGAGGGTTTGGGCATCTTGTTTAGATCTGATGGTTAGGTAGACAACAGTATCATCTGCAAAGAGTCTAACCTTGCCTTTGACACTATCTGGGAGGTCATTTATCTAAGAAAGGAAAAGGCAGGGACCTAATACCGAGCCTTGGGGGACACCTGAAAGGACTGGTAGTATTCCTGATTTTTGACCTTCAACTACAACTTGCTGGGAGCGTGACTTAAGGAAGGAATGGACCCAATTTGTAACCTCATAACTTATACCCAATCTTTCTAGTTTACTCACAAGTTTGTGATGGTCCACCTTATCAAATGCCTTACTGAAATCCATGACTATGACATCAGTTTGTTGGCCACTTTCAAGATTGATTCATGAATTTCCTGGGAGAAACTTACTAGCTGGGACTCACAACTCCGTTTTGACCTGAAGCCATGTTGATAGGGGCTAAGGATGTTGTGTTTATCATAAAAGGACATAATATTGGACACTAAGATGTGCTCCAGCAATTTGGACGCTATGCATGTGAGGGAGATTGGTCTATAATTGCTGGGTTTGCATTTTGGGCCTTTTTGTAAACTGGGGCAATTATTGCATGCTTCCAGTCTTCTGGGACAATACCTGTTTTAAGTGAGATCTGGAAGATGTGGGTCAGTATGGGAGTAACCTCTTGATGGAACTCTTTTAATAACCTAGGGGATATTTGGTCAGGACCAGAAGCTTTATTTGGGTTTAGTCCTTTTAAAAGTTTCTTCACACCATCTTCCGATATAGATACTTCTGGCATAGATGGGTGGTGTTTTGGAATAAGCTTCTGTTTGCAAGCCTTGGATAAGCTAAGGGGCTGAGGCCGAGAGAAGACAGACTCAAACTGGGAGTTAAGGATATCTGTTTTTGCAACTGGATCAGTAAATGTTTGACCTTCTGATTTGAGGGGTGCCACACCACAGCTTTCAGTTTTGTTACTTTTAACATATTGGTAGATTTTTTTATTTTTCACATTTTGGGAGTCTTGGCTAAAAATGACAGAGTCTAGGTATTGCCTGTATGCTTTCCTAGTTTCTCTTTGGATTTCACTTTTATAAGTACTTTGAACGATTTGACCAAATCATTTGATGGGGACTTTGACCTTTTAATGATTGAATAAGTTCTATCACGTTTCCTGATTTTGCGAATAATGGTACTTGTTTAACCATGGTAGATCTCGATGTGTTTTAGTGACTTTAGTTGGTATGTGAATAGAACGAAGGTGGTTGAATGTTGTCTTAATAAGCTATATTCGTTGTAGTTTTGGCTTCCATAATTTAATATGTCGCTTTTATTTTGACGTTGTGCGACAGTAAACAGGTGTAGCAGTACTCTAAAACCTGTTCGCTGAAGTCTCTTTTGCTACATTCGTTGAAAAAAAACTTTATTATGATCATTATTTTAAAAGTTTGATCAAATTTTCATGAAGTTTTTTTTATATATTGGCCATGTGATTGTACTATTGTAGTGTTTCTGCACTGACAAAAAAATAAGAAACATTTGGCGGTGTATAACCGAGGTTCGAATAAATGTGAGAACGAATTAACTGATATTCAATCCAAGATGTCTGCGCCCATGTAAAAATGTTTTTATGACTGGAAAAGCATTTTTGAATTAGTTTTAAAGTGAACCGTTTCTTTCTTATCTTATGACAAAGGTAGGTAATTTCATTATCAGATTATTTGATGGTTTTGCATGGAAAATAAAATTATGAATGAACTGATGAAATTTTACAGGCGCTCCGTGCAATACTTTACAATGGTGAAATTAACATAATTATCACACCTTGATCATCAAGAACAAAATGTTTTTGTGTGTTTTTTTTTCCGTATTGATTGTAAAACCTTAAACTTTTTACCTCATAGTGTGGGACGTGTTTGACGGCTTTTGTCCCCCCCCCCCCCACCTTTGAGACCTCAAACATGAAAAGATACCCAAATTAAGCCCGAAACACATTTTTCAATTGAGAAATATTGATAAAAAAGTGATCACTTTTTCGGCGCCGCCCCCTATCAAAAAGGTTTATCAAGGGGTTGCCAGTAGGGGATGTGTCCCCTTCTGTTTCGGGGGTTTGAAAAGAGGAGCAGTCGCCCCCTCATCTCCAAGAAAATTTTGGACATGTGACAGTCTAAAAATGGCCTCAGGTGGATTGTAAGGTAACATGTAGGCCTAACCAATGCTGAAAAGCTCTTTACTCTATCTTAATCCATTGAGAAGTTGCAGCACTTTGAAATCAATTTTGATGGGGAAAAAACCAATGCAAAATAGTGATTTTTGGCAATTTTGAGACTTCCCCCGTTGCCATGGTAACAGGAAATTTAAGATTGACCATGCTGTGACATAGGCTATGGTCTAGTCAACATTTGTGCCAAGTTTCATCAGTATTGAAGTATTTTTCATAGTTTCATAGCAGTTTGAACTTGTAACAGGAAGCTTTTCTGTTTTCAATGAAAACGGCCATTTTTCACAATATGCTCATGCAGTAAAGGGTTAATTAAAATCTCATTGAGTTACAAAAAATCCCATTGATTTTGTTGAAGTGGGATTTTTTATGCCCCCAAAGGGTGGCATATTAAAATCGAACCGTCCGTCTGTCCGTCCGTCCGTCAGTTAGTCCGTCCTGATCTATACATATAGACAGTGGTGGTCGTGTCCGCTCTGAAACTTCAGAATGCATGAAAGGATTTTAATTATTCTTTCATATATGAAATAACCATAGATGTATGGTGTGTCACGAACAACACTCTGGTTTCTACAACTAAGGTCAAGGTCACTGTAGGGGTTCAAACTTTGTCAATTTTGATGTTAATATACATATAGGCAGAGATAGTCGTGTCTGCTCTGAAACTAGTATGCATGAAAGGATTATATTTTTTATTTCACATATGAAATTATCATAAATGTATGATGTGTTGCCCTTAAGACCCGTGTTCCTATGCCTTAGTTCAAGGTCACTGCTGAGGTTTAAACTTTTTCAATACTTATGTTATATACATATAAATGGTGGTTGTTATGTCCGTGCTCTGTAACTTCCATATACATGAAAATTTCAATTTTTATTTAAAAATATAAAGTCACTATAGATGAACAATGTGTTGTGAACAAGACCCAGGTTTCTTTGTCTCACTTAAAGGTAGGTCACTGCTGGGGTTCGAACTTTTCCAAGTTTTACCACCACACTTAACATGTAATAGGTGGTTAATAACTAGAATCCTTCGGGGGCATTTGTCACGTTCTGTGACAGCTCTTGTTCTCTCATATAATTATATTTTTAATCAAAATATATTGAGGTGCCCTATTCAGCTAGCTTACGGAGCGTCGGTGGTTCTACTCAGGTACCCGTTCGTGCCTGAAATAATGCACGGAAGGGCACCTGAGGTCTTCATCCACCAGTAAAGCTGGAACGTCGTGATATGGATAATGACCTATACTGTGTTCATGTGACGTAAAACCCAAAACAAACAAAATATGGAGGTGCCAAAGCTAGATTCTGAGATATTTTTGTTCTGGGTCATAATCTGGCTTCTAAATGTTAGATATTGCCCACACAGGTGTTTGGCACTGGGCCATGTCTTACACTATACCTCCATACCCCTTCTACAACCCTTAACCCTTTAATATCATCCAAACATCATAACTGACTTTATGTTACTTAAAGTATTTACAAAAATCTATTACCGATACAAAATATTATGACTTACAAAATGTTATATTTAGAGTCATGATTTTTTTTTTAACATCATATGCCCCCTAGCACCAGCATGAGCTGTACTCAATTTTCAACACTTTAGAGTGCTGAAATCAATGATCTTGAAGCACCAGAGAAATATAACAACACTGAACATATGAACTTGATCTCATCATATACCGTTCCCTAGCTAGAATCGAGCCACGCTTGTTTATGAAGTAATTAACAATACAATTGAAATTCACCCGTCAATCACAGCCAGAATACACCAGAGAGATGGGCCTCCAAAGCATGTTTCTGTGCGAGATCCATATTACTTTTTGGCACTTGACACCAAGATTTATTGGGTTACATCACAGTCTTTCAAATAGAATTTGAAAGACCCTTGTTACATAGAATATCCTCTAAACTCTGTGTCAACAACGGAACATCTTCATGAATAGGAATGGCCCTGATATTCAATGTTTTGTCTTTGTCAACATTCCCCGCCCTTCTTCTGAAGATTTGACTTTCACCAACCTCAATGGGAAGAATCAGTTGAGTCTTGACCATCTGCATAGGAAAGGTTTTCTGGAAATCATACTTACATCCACCCACCACTAGACAACTGTGTCTGCCATGCCCTAGAGGTCTAACCTTGACAATTTCAGCAGTGGTATTCTTTACAATGTGTTTGCATTGGCATGCAAACAGCCCGCACAATGTCTAAAACACCATTTTCTTCTGTGAAAGCTTTTCAGTAAACCCCCCCCCAAATTTTCCCCTTGTACTTTTCCCAAAAATTCTTTTACCCCCCTAAGATGAAAATCGTCAGTTCCCCATAAACCTTTTAGCAAGAATTTCCCTGAACTGCTTTTTTAAAAAAACCCACTGAAGACCTCTTATAACATTACCCTTTCCCAAAAATATCTTTTTTTCCCCCCTTGTTGAGAGCATAGCTACCATACTCAACATCTTTGTTTTGGCCACCTTGCTCCTGCAAGAACTATGCTCCAGTCGATGTGTTGAGGCATATGTGTCTTAGAAATAAAAAAATCATTATGTTGATTATGCAATGCTGATGCAGGAGTTTGCGTCAACAAGCAATTCTAAGTTCTGAATGTGTTTGCCTGGTTTTTGCCCCTATTGTTTAGATAAAAAGTTAAGTACAGTTTCTTCTGAACACTTGTGAAGAACTGCAGGCTTTAGTGAAAATTTGTCTAAGCATACTTCAGATAGAATGTTTGACCTCATTCTCTCGGAGCTACATGCAAGGATAACTCTTGACTTTGTTCCATATGGAGTACAAGTCTTATTTCAGGAATTCTAGAATTAAAGTTTCCCTAAAATAAGCTAACAAGAGTATGACCAGACTCTGTTTCTCTTGCCCGATTAATTTAAGCATCTTTATAATAAAATCCATGATGGCATCAAATAGATTTTGGTCCATTCCATACTTAAACCAGGGCAGGTCTGCTCAAAAGATTTAATAAGGTTAAGGTAATAAGTAAATTATGATCAGATCTAGAAAGATGGTGTACAATCTAGTTAAAAAATTCTCACATTTATCATTATATATTATTACAGTAGATGCATACTGACAATATGGAGGGGTTAGGATCTGTACAGCAGAAGGTCTCATGTGTGTATGAGACTACAGTGCTAAATGAACACCCAAAACCCGTAAAAACCGTCCTTAAGGTAATTTAAATAGGCATTATTTGGGTTTTAAAGACATTCCCTTTTTTTTACTTCTTTTTGGGAAAGGGTGATACTTCTATGAGTAAAATTAATGCCAGTAGAATAAAAAGAATAAAAAGAAAAAATTTCAATAGAAAGGGTACCCCAAATAAAAGGTTTATTTGTTTTAAAAATTATTTAAACTATAATTCAAAGGTTTAATAAGATCAGGGGTAAAAAACTAACATGTTATTACAAAATTGAGCTTATTTTGAATTAGCAATATACTGAAAAAATTAGTGATAAACTTAAAAAGTCTGAACATTATACTAAAGGCTGTTTAATTTTGTTCTTTAGTAATTTACTATCATTGTTTTTGAATGATATTAGCTAAGTATTGGCTGGCTATATAGATTGATATAGAAAGTAATAGTGGATGCTTTAATTAGTAGGTTTAGTTATAATTAATGCACTTTATTGGAAATTTTCAAACATTTTTCTATCAGGTTTGGCGCTTTGGTTTGGTTGTTTATAAGTAAAGAAATATGCTTATTATTAAAGCTTTATACCCTTTATCTGTTATAAAACATCATAAAGTTTTGTACTGTATGTATATCAATATTACATTTCCATTTCTATTTAAAGTGGCTTGAAGACCCTATAACCTAGCAAGCAAATGGTTATACTGTTTACAGACACAGAATGTCTCCCTACACAAACTGTCTATTTGGATGTTGTATATAGTATTTTAACATTGTACAATTATTTTCATCTAGTTTTCATTTTTAGCTTGACTGTTGGAAGAAAAATCTAGCTATTATGATCCTTGTAGCTTTGATGTTACTTGCAAAAACTAAAGTAGCCAATTATTCAAACATTTCAAAAATTTTCAACATGAAACTCAGAATACTTGCTTTAATATTATGTTGAGGTGTAATTGTTAGGCAAGGGACATTATTCTAAAACTAAAAAGCAGTATTTTTGGAGTAACACCCCTCTTTAAGTTAGAAATTTTACAGACAAGCATTGCATTACACGGCATGAGGTTCTCTAGTACTGGTACCTGCGTGAAGGATTTTTGAGAATATATTTATATTAAAGTTTTAATACATGTTCAGGTTGTAGCATCTGAGAGAATGAAACAAAAGGCAATAGATAATGATATTCATACAGCAATAGTCACTGAGAAATTGGATGGAACTTGTGTATATATTGCACAGTTTGAAGGTAAATAAAAATAAGTTTTTTTTGTTGTATTCCCCCCCCCCCATTTTAGTACTTATGATAACATAATATGCAAATTTCTGAAAATCACAATTGCTTTCTAATTACTGCACTTTTATTGACTCTTTGTGGACATGTTTTGTGTAATTAAACATCACTTAATAGTTTATTCATTATTTACATGTTATGCTCAAGGAATCTTATATTTTTATCAAGATATTAAAGATTAGATATGTTTACATTCAGGAAAGCCATGGCTATGGGCGAGATATGACAGAAAACCAACTAAAGGTGCGGAGAAAAGATTTAAGAAATTTCAGCAGCAGAAACAAAAACAAGAGTCGGAATTCGACAAAACCCCGTCGTTCCCGTGGGGTATGGGTTTAAAAATTTTTAAGGGATGATTTTCTATGTTTTCAAGGGATGAATTTTTTGTTTATTTATTGTTTCCCGGTAAAGAAAAAAACTTTTTATTTTTTGCAAAAATACTGTAAAAATTTTCCCCAAATAAAAATGCTTTTGTTACCAGGTACATGCAAATATTTAAAATTCAAGTTATTTTTTATTGTTTTTTTTAGAAGGTGTCTTTTCAAAATTCAAACTGCCGGTGATCATTAAATGTATCTTAGATAAATGCATCAAGATCAGATTGTAATACTTTGATGGTGGAATTTACTTGTCAGGTTGGAGGTATATGCTGACTATCATGCCTCAATACCACATTGCTATATACAGGCTGTATTCATTGTTTTCACTGTCATTAAATTTTACATGTTGATTTAGTGATTTCCTATATGCTTCTTTTTCAATTCAACTGTTATTTCTTTGCTATCTGATATGTTTCTTGAATGGATTCATTTAGTATATGAATAATTTAAAGCCATGAATTATATCAAATTATTATCTAAATGCCTACAATATTCTATGTGCAAGTAATTTAATTCTGTTCATTTTATTTTATCTTATAGGATACACCTGAGTACTGGATCCCGGCTCTTGGAGTTAAGATTATAGATGGTTTCCCAGTTCCTGATGATATAGGACATACTCCTGGCTGGGTACCAGTAAGTCCATCGTCAAGGCAACAATGCTGGCACCTCTCTGCAGTAGATCTAAATCTTGGACTGGCACTTGTTCTAAGGTAATTATATAATTAAATAATTATATAATATATATAGTTTTAAATGATAACAATGCGGTAAATGAAAATTAAACATTTTATTTGAATGTGGCAGTTTATAAGTTGTATTAATACAAGGTGTGTTCAAAGAAGTTGTGGACTGAAGCTCTACTGTTTACATCTTTTAATTTAGGTATACAATTTTACTAGAGACAAAATCTTTATATACAATGAAAAACCAATACAATATGTTTGCAAACAACAATTCTGCACACGGCGCATGCTCATAATTCAACAAATGATGTTTGTGATGTTGCAAAAAAAATGTCACCAACATCATTGTCTTTGAAAGTATGGTGGAACTATAACCATATTTTGTGCATATTGATAAAGAGAGAAAAACAGTGATCACATACTTTAGTATTTTCCCCGTTAAGATTAGGAAGCTGGTCACTATCCACTCTTTGTCGTGATTTTTGAGAAATCTCGACACTCAACAGACATAGACTTATAATGTGAATTAAATTAGTGATTTAAAGTATAAATTTAAAACTGTGATCATCCAATCTGTGAATAATATGATTTGTACAGTAAGGTAAAATATTCTATTAATTGAAAATCAATCTCTTTGGTAATTTTACTGCACACAAGCTAGTATTTATCAAACAAAATCAGTGAAAGTGCATGTAATACAAATAACAACTGTGTACCATTATAAGATTAATTTATTGGAAATATACATATATCCTGATAAATAAAATAAAATATTGTTTAAAATCAGTTATTTAGTCAGAATTGAATGCGTAGACCTGATGGGGGAAATTAAGCAGTCCAGATAGCTTATGGACTGTTCATACTGTCGGCCCTCCTGTAACACTTTTGTAATTGACGTAACTAACATGGCTACAATTCATCACTGTTTGTAATCATGTATTCACTGCCATTGAATTGCTTGCACCAGCTTAAAATGAGTGACCTGCTGACTGATTTATTATACATTTATCCTTCTTTAATTCGACCTTATCATTAGTAGCTGAAGGAGTATGCCCATATTGTAGGCAAAATTTATCGATCGTGCCAATATCTAGTTTTTCAACAACATTATATTTCTTGATTAACGCTACTGTCTACTGCTATTCAAAACATGTTTGTTTGGCCATTCAATGTCCAAATAACAGCAAATATTAGAATAATGGCACTTAAATATTAATTGAAGTTTTCCCATATTTCACATTAAAATAACCATTCACTCAATTTAACATTGGTTTAACTAAAATGTTGACTTGTATGAACATTTCTATTTGTGCCAATGTTGCGTTACCATGGTTATTAATCTGCATATAGCTTGTGAAGGAAATAAAAGTTTATGATAAAAGTATTACTCATTGTTAGAAATAAAGGCATCCTTTCAATTTATATCAATCAAGTTTGTTTTCCAAAGACTGTAAGAGACCATGAACTTTTTGAACATAGGTCATATAATGCTGCCTTTAGTAGTAGCCGTTTGCAAATTGAACCATCTTATTATGCTCCCTGAAAAAATTTCGGGGGAGCATATAGTCGCTGCCTTGTCCGTCCATCCGTCCGTCTTTCCGTCGGTCCGTCCGTCCGTCCGTCCCCTTTTCTTGTCCGGGACATAACTTTGAAACAACAAGAGGTATCAACATGAAACTTTGTAGGTAGATAGATCTCATTGAGTAGGTGTGCAGTGCACAAGAACCGTAACTCTGCCTTGCCTAATTTTTGAATTATTCCCCTTTGTTTATTTTTACACTTTGAACTTTGTCCGGGACATAACTCTAAAAGTATAAGAGGTATCAGCATGAAACTTTGTAGGTAGATAGATCTCATTGAGTAGGTGTGCAGTGCACAAGAACCGTAACACTGCCTTGCCTAATTTTTAAATTATTCCCCTTAGTTTATTTTACACTTTGAACTTTGTCCGGGACATAACTCTAAAAGTATAAGAGGTATCAACATGAAACTTTGTAGGTAGATAGATCTCATTGAGTAGGTGTGCAGTGCACAAGAACCGTAACTCTGCCTTGCCTAATTTTTGAATTACCCCCCTTTGTTTATTTTACACTTTGAAATTTGTCCGGGACATAACTCTTAATGTATAAGAGATATCAACATGAAACTTTGTAGGTAGATAGATCTCATTGAGTAAAAGTGCAGTGCACAAGAACCGTAACTCTGCCTTGCTTAATTTTTGAATTATCCCCCTTTGTTTATTTTACACTTTGAACTTTGTCCGGGACATAACTCTAAAAGTATAAGAGGTATCAACATGAAACTTTGTAGGTAGATAGATCTCATTGAGTAGAAGTGCAGTGCACAAGAACCGTAACTCTGCCTTGCCTAATTTTTGAATTATCCCCCTTTGTTTATTTTACACTTTGAAATTTGTCTGGGACATAACTCTAAAAGTATAAGAGATATCAACATGAAACTTTGTAGTTAGATAGATCTCATTGAGTAGGTGTGCAGTGCACAAGAACCGTAACTCTCCCTTGCCTAATTTTTGAATTACCCCCCTTTGTTTATTTTACACTTTGAAATTTGTCTGGGACATAACTCTTAATGTATAAGAGATATCAACATGAAACTTTGTAGGTAGATAGATCTCATTGAATAGGTGTGCAGTGCACAAGAACAGTAACTCTGCCTTGTCTAATTTTTGAATTATCCCCCTTTGTTTATTTTACACTTTGAACTTTGTCCGGGGCATAACTCTAAAAGTATAAGAGGTATCAACATGAAACTTTGTAGGTAGATAGATCTCATTGAGTAAGTTTGCAGTGCACAAGAACTGTAACACTGTCTTGCCTACTTTTTGAGTTATTGCCCTTTGTTCATTTTGACACTTTGAACTTTGTCTGGGACATTACTCTAAAATTATAAGAGATATCAACATGAAACTTTGTAGATAGATAGGTCTCATTGGGTGGAAGTGCAGTGCTTAAGAATCATTACTCTGCCTTGCCTTATTTTGAAGTTATTGCCCTTTGTTTATTTTTACTTTTTGACTTTTGTCCTGGACATTACTTTAAAACTATTAGAGATATCAACATGAAACTTTGTAGGTAGCTAGATATAATTGGATAGAACTGCAACGCTTAAAGAACCTAAACAAAGCCTGGTCTAATTTTGGAGTTATTGCCCTTTGTTCATTTTTTTTACACTTTCCTGTGTCCAGAACCTTCTCGGGGAGCATCACCCGGTTCAACCGGTTCTTGTATTTAATCATGAATTGAATGTTTTATATGTTATAATGTTTTATATGTTATAATGTTTTATATGTTATAATGGTTTATATGTTATAATGTTCAGGGTTGGAGATGATGGGGAGGGGTTATATATTGACTGTGTTCACATGTCACAACTAGAGGGGCATACTGCAGAACTTATTGGGACCAATATAAATGGAAATCCTTATGGTATCTTTCTTATTATTACTATTGTTTTGTTATTATTGGATTTATGGTATATGCATTTGTTCTCCATGTTTTATATTCTGCAAAATACAATTTTTTATAAAAATATTTGACATTTTGTTATAAATTTCAATAAGATATATTACACAATAAATCAAAACTATCCCTTTACGTGATCTAGTATGATATTTTCTTACCAGATTTTAAACACTTTATATTGAATGCAAAAAGTTTTAAAGAAACTGGTTATGTGTTACATGTATATTGTTACAGGAATTGGTAGTAAGAAATTCCCCATTCATATTTTGGTTGTCCATGGTTCACTGACTGTCAGAAATCCACCAGAAGTTAAAATGGAGACCATTAAAAGCTGGTTTCAACAAGAGGGTCAAGTGGAAGGACTTGTTTGGCATTGTACCAATGGTACTTTGTTCAAGGTAAACTTGTTGGAATTAAGGTTGAACATTTTTTATTGTTGATACAAATAAAAAGGAAACAAATGGTTAGCTTGCATTCTTATTCTCACTTCTCACTAAGTTTAATGCAAAAGTCAAACCAAAGATTTGGCGCCCATGGCCAAGTGGTGAGTGTAAGACCATTCCCTGGTATTACATCATGATTGTGATGGGATCAGACTTGAGAATGGTACAAAATGATATAGGATTTAACTTCTTACAGTGTTGGAACAGTACCTCTAGATGCTTGCAGAAATCATGATCACAAAGTAGCAAAAATATCACTTTATTTTAGCCAACTCTTGCATTTTTCATTCATTTTCGTATATAAATTTTTGTGGAGAGATGAATTAGACATCTTACAGTGCATTTTGGCAAGGGAAAAGGCGAGATTTTAGCATTTAATCATTCAAGGGCCTTGTCCTGTATATACCAGAGGACAGAACTTAATGTGGTGCTCTAATTTATTCTCACTCAATGATATAAGCTTTCATCATTATTTAATAAAACAAGGTGATATATATTCTGATCTTACACTGAACTAAACAAATATCCTCTATATGTTTAAACTTACATAAAAACATTAACAGTGTATTAATTTAAGTGAAATAGGGTAATAGATATGTTTATCAGCATTTAAGAATACATGTGAAGTATCTTCAGAATAGATGTGCACTTTCTTGACTATAATTATATTTTATTTAAATTTACATGCTCTCAAATATTGATGCCAAATAATGAAGTATATTCTGTAAGCAATTGTATTATGTTTTCAGGCTATTTCATATAATAATTTTCTAAATACATGCAGATGGTTTGTCTTGAATTAGATATATATTTTTTTTTACAGCTTCATCGTAACCATGTAGCTTTACCATGGCCAGTAGACTCCCCAACTTTGACCAAACGACGTGTTTCAGTTGCCGTGGATACAACAAAATATGAATTAGATAATAACGACAGTTTGATAGCCAGATTTGGAAAATTTACTGGACATTCGTGTGAATCATTGACAGACTTGACCAATTTATTAATGTCAGAGGAATGTGATGTGGCTGGTTCCTGTCTCCAGGAACAGACTGGTTCCCCCCAAAAAATGATTGGTACCCAGTCATAGCATAGGGGAACCATATAAAATATTATTTATTGTTTAACTGTCTTGTATAAATGTTGTGATCATTTGTTACCTTCTAAATTTCTAATATAGAGATTTTTGTGTTCATATTTCTAAGCTTGTTCACTGGTTTAAGCAGATTTTTTCCTGAATGTTTAAATCAATATATGTTTTGTTAAGGGAAATTATATCATTAGTATATGAAAAACATTATTTAGAGAGATAAATGCACGCAGATTCTGTGACTGTGTGAAGATATTGGTAAATAACACAAAGGATGTGGATTTTTTTTTCTTAATTTTTACCATGAAACAATTTTTTTCATTATGGTTAATTCTCCTATAGCAGATATTACTGTAATGATATTATTTAACCCACAGATATGGTGTAGAACTGGCGATCACCACATTATAAACCGCATAACTTCTATTTTTTCCTTTATCCCAAACAATGCATATCTTTAAAATTTATTTGAGCTTGTGACAAAAATGGTATTTCACATGTTTTCAGCAATCAACATATTGTACAATACTATTACATGATCTTCCCTTTTTACCAATAATTACTTATCTCTGGTTGCTTTTTGCAGAAATGAGTATAATCATGTTCTGTTTACAGTTTAACGTAAAATCTACACATTTAAAATATTTTACACTAAAACTTTGTTGTTTAGGCGTATGACTAAAATATGTCAACATTGACCACTTTTAACACTGGTTTCATGGAAATACGCCATTACCATGAAATAAATGATGGCGCATAATAAGTGATGTTGAGTATACTAGATTTATTTAAGTCATGGTTCTCTCTTTTAATGTAGTCATGAGCATTTGGTCTATAAAGATCATGGACTTCTGTTCATTTTTAGCTCGACTTTTTTTTTTTTGAAAAAAAAAGTAGAGGTATTGTTATAGTCAGGTCGGCGTTGCCGTTGCCGTTGCCGTCTCCGTTGCCGTTGCCGTTGCCGTCCGAAAACTTGTACCTGGATCATAACTTTTTTATTTCTTGGTGTATTGTCTTCATACTTGGCCACAACAACCCTTGGGACAAGACCTTTCAGTAGACCACACTAACCTTGACCTTCATCCATAAATGACCTTGACCTTCAAGGTTAAAAGTCCAATTTTTGCTTGTTCATGCTGTTATTGGCTGTTACTTTGTTATTTTTGAATGGATTGTCTTCAAACTTGAACATAATAATCTTCAAGGATATCCCTTAAAAATAACCAGTCAGACCTTGACATTCACTCATCAATGACCTTGACTTTGAAGGTCAAATTATTGAAATTTTCATTTTTTTGGCTATTATTGGCTGTAACTTTGTTATTTTTGAATGGATTGTCTTCAAACTTGAACATAATAATCTTCAAAGATAACTGTTAAAAATATACCGAAAGACCTTGACCTTCACTCATTAATGACATTGCCTTTGAAGGTCAAATTATTGAAATTTTCATTGTTTTGGCAGTAACTGACTGTAACTTTGCTATTTTTGAAGGGATAAACTTCATATTATAACAGAACATTCTTAAGGACCAGACCTTGTTGTTTATCAAACCCAAATTTGCTTGGGCTCTTTAATGACCTTGACCTTGAAGGTTATATTACTGAATTTCTCAGATTGTGCATTTATCGGTGTGTGTGTATGTATAGTATATGTATTATATATAAATATATATATAAATGTGTGTGTGTATATATATGCAGGTATATATATATATATATATATATATATATATATATATATATATATATATTAATATATATATATATATATGCATGTATATATATATATATATAATATATATATATGCATGTATATATATATATATATATATACATATATAGATATATATATATATATCAAAATATATATATATATATCAAATATATATATATATATATATATATATATATACATATATATACATATATATACATGTATATAATTGCGTCATGTTTTTCTATTTTTAGAAATTGCGTCATTGTTTCTATTTTTAGAAATTGCGTCATTTTTTTCTATTTTTAGAAATTGCGTCATTTTTTCTGTTTTTAGAAATTGCGTCATTGTTGCTATTTTTAGAAATTGCGTACTGTTGCTATTTTTAGAAATATGCTTAATGTTTCTATTCATATATATACAAAATATATAAACAAAACTAATGTGACAAGACAGACCAACTAAATTTATAAAAAGGAAACATCAATATATGTTCAAACCTTTCTATGTTTGCGTTTAGAAAAAGTAAAAAGTCGAGCGTTGCCCCCGCCCGGCGGTGGCTCTTGTTATTATTCAGTACTAATATTGATTACTCAGTTTAATTTACAAGTATTAAATTTTTTTTGCGTATTTAAAAGTAGAGCTCTATCAAATTTTTTTTGCTGATTGGTCAATTATTTACAAGAACGTTCTCACAGAGGTCAATCCGGTTCACTCGTTCAGTTCACATAAATACAGATGTTCGTGTTTATTTGACACATTCCTCCTAAGCTGCAGCATGGATGGTTTCACAGATATCGTAACAGGCGGCAACATCGGCGCAAATTGTTCAAGCAGACGTGATATGTGATCCTAATTATATGGGCACACCGATTTACGGTTCATATCAAACAGCAGACTATCAACAACATCAAGCACAGACACCAAGAAATCAGTATCAACGCCCACAACAGCAGCAACAACAACAACAACAGCAGCACTTCAGCAAATCACGGGAGAAATGGTGAAACTATTTCAATAATTGATTCAAGAAATGTGGTAAATGAACACCAATATGACCAATTTAGAAAATGCACTGCGTGAACAGACATTCCTGCTGAAGTTCAAGACAGATACCGTTGTAGTTCCCATGGAATTCAAATACAGGGAAAACAGTCACTGTTCAACGACTGATGACTCCAGTAAATCAACGAAGAAAAGAAAAAAGGATGATGGACCTGGACTTGAATTTCATTCAATGATGATGAAAAAGAAGTAAGACGTGTGGTGGTTTCCCCCTTATAATATTAAAAACAACTATTTTAAGGGCCACCCTATTTCATCCAGAAAGAAAATATCTTATCATTATGGTCATACAAATATCAGTCATTATATAAGTCCCTTATTCTAATTCCCTATATATTTATAAAAAATTCATAATTATATTAAGTAGAAAATAAAAACAGTAAATGCACTAAAACTTTGTTGTTTAGGCGTATAACTAGAATATGTCAACATTGACCACTTTTAACACTTAAGTTTCATGGGAATATGCCATTACTGTGAAATAAATGATGATGCAAAATTAGTGATGTTGAATATACTAGATTTATTTAAATCGTGATTCTCTCTTTTAATGTAGTCCTGAGCATTTGGTCTCTAAAAGTATGGAATTCTGTTCATTTTTATTATTCAGTACTAATATTGATTACTCAGTCTTATTTTTAAGTATTAAATTTTGTTCAACATTTCGTTGTTCGTATCGTGTAAAATTCTTCACCGAAGTCCTGAGTACTACCAATTTCATTGTTTTTTTGAATATTTATCCAATGATATTTTTTGACCAATGTCATTTAAATTTAGTTAGGAATGTCATGAATAGTTTTTGTGGTCCATGTCATGAATGTTTTGTGAACACTGTCATATTTTTGTTGTAATTTTATGAATATTTTTTGAGGTTATTGTATTTACTTAAATATAAACAAGACAAAATATATAAACAAAATATCTGAAGTATACATCATTTGTCAATATGTTACACATGTGTTATCAGATAAAAACGATCAAAAGCTATGTAATGTTTTTTTCAGAGTTGTAAAAGGCACAATAACATTATTTCTATAATCTTATCGTCAATTCTAAAGAGTTGTAGTATGTTTCTTTTTTTTTCATAAACACACATGAATATTGTATAAAAACAAAATAAAGATTTATAGAATGAATATTATGCTGCGTTTTTTAAGTAGGATTTTAACTGTTTAGCATGTACCGTTCACTCTGAAGCAAATATACAAACATTTTTCTTTCATACAATTATTTTGAAATTACTCTTTTTCTTCCAATTAAAACAATAATTCTGTAAACTACAGCAGGTGTTTAGCTTTATACTCTATTAAAGGGAGATAATAATTCTTAGTGGAATCTAACTTCAAACTTTTCTTTAAAATGTAGAATAGTAAGGTGCAATTAATGTGAACATTTCTCTAATACAATATTTTTTCTCTCTTTAAATAAAATTGAAATGAATAAAAGATGTAATAGTGTTTATTTAAGTTATCCTTCCAAGGCCCCCAATTTTTAATATTTTAACCTATAATGATCCTGTACAACAACGTATAGATCTTCATTAAATTTTGATTATTATTTGTTTGGGTCGTCAGACCAAACAAATAATTGTAGCTAAATTTCAGACTCTAATGCTGTTAATTGCAAATGCCGAAAGTAGTCCGCTTTTTTGAAGTGGTTACTTCCCTTTATATGTACACTAACGCCGAAAAATTCAGGGGAAATCACTATGTAAGATGGTCAAATGACAGGCGCATTAATTTTCAAGCAAAATAATTCCAGAATGGCCGAAGATTTCTAATATTGTTTTATTCTTTATAGATATACATGCTTAAAGTAAGCTCCATGAATATTTACATCTGTGTTAAACAACAGTTAGCGTCGTTACAAACCCTAATTTAGAATAATATGGTTTTCTTCAGGCCGTTAACATATAAATTCACTGTGGCCGAGGGGTTTGCGTGCTTGCTTAGGAAGCGAGAGGTCTGGAGTTCAAATCCCAATTAAGAAAACTAATTTTTTTTTCAAATTGTTTAAGTCAAATAAACATTGGATTGAATATCGTCTTATAGCCAATTTACTACAATTAAAACGCTGGAAAGCATTGGTGGCACTATTCAAAAACAAATTGGTTAAATAATCTCACATCCTTCACCTTTCTGACATTCTGAGACCCAAACAAATTCAGGGCCTTCTGTGCTTTGATTACAATATGTAATAGTTTCTGTTTCAACAGTATTCATTATAAGATGTAAAATTGCTTCATTCCTCTCCTGTTATAAGTCTACCAGTCATTCAGAAGTATTATACAAATTAATATTAATGAAGGTTCGATAGAACTGGAACTTGTAGAGAAAAAAATAACCTCAAGCAGGCTCTGGTGTTGATATGTTGTATTTCTCCATTAAAGTAAACATTTGTCTTATTTCTTTTGCTTTCCCTGCTGGTGAGGTTTGCTGAGACATAGTCGGACCACTTTAGTATTGCTAAATCTTGGTTTTGGCCGTAACTGCTTCTGCTTATGTGATCAGTGCAGACCAAATTAATGAAATCTTACTGCAATGCTTTCCCGCCAAAAAATTTCTTACTCGTAATAAATCATTTATCGGTCATTTTCGGAACTTTTTTCATTACCTTTGGTATTCAATCATTTTTAACCATTTATAAACAAAATTTTGTCTAAAGTGATAAAGGATGAGTGATTGTAAATAACCTAATGCCCATGATTTTGAAAAGATAATATTTCTGAAATAACCGATTTGCTATGACATTGGCCGATATTAGAATTTTTTTGGAAGGAAGGCATTACAGTAAGACTACCTTAACTGACACATCTGTGTTCCCTGATCATGTTTCGCACTATTCATCAAGACATATTTTGAAATGTTTCCTACAAATATGGTTTTCGCTTGATTGATAGATATTTAGTAAGGTAAGGGTTCATGTATGTCAAGGAAACGAGAGTTTGGGGGTGTAAATAAAGTACATTTATTCACTATTTGAGGCCTCAAGGGGGAAGGGGGGGGGGGGGTGAAAGTGCAATGTTTCGCGTATGTAAGAGGTAGAAGTTGTGAAGATCTTTCCACACTAGTAAAACTATAAACTTGAATTTACTACATGAAACTTTATAAATAGAACTTCAAAGCATTTGGGTAGATTAAGTTTAAGGTCGTAACTCCAGGGTGACACACCTAAAATTTTACAGTAAATGTAGGAAAAGAAACTGATAATCATTACAGCTTCTGAATTTGCTTCATTACATCAAGTTTTTGTTTTTCTGCGATATTTAAAATCAAAACAAACACAGCAAATTATAATCTTGCATCGAAACAATGCAAATCAATTTTAATAATCATAGCTTTCAAAAAAATGTAGTACATATAAAATTTATAGCACTTATGGTTATATGAATGGACAGTACACGATGTATGTACAAGATGTATAAAATCTACGAA